TTGGTTGATGAATTGATCGTTTTTTTGTTGTTTTTCAACCTGTTCACCCTCTCTTATATTTATAGAAAAATGTTTTCTGGAGCAGGGTAATTTTTTAATAATGGGCGGCAATTTCTTAAGAAATATCTTTTTAATTTTAAAACACAAGAAAAATGAATTTTATCTAATTTTTGGCAGTCGAGCTCTCAATAGTCACTTCTCTGTATTTGAAAGAGAACCTAACTCCTTTCTAATCCAACTGCCCTTGTGAGATCTCAAACCGTGATGGTTAGCTTGATTTCCTGTTTGAACAACTCTTTACCCTTCTACTTATTTTCTTTTTTTAAATAACAAGGCATGCTTATCTCTTGGGACAATCACCCTATTTGAAATAGAGAAAATATCTCTGAATATATATATACATGTAAGAGAGGATTTTGATCTTCTGGTGGCAGAAATTCAGAGAAGTCCTTTTGCCACTGACCTGCTTTAATTAATTCTCAATCAACTCAGTTGAGTTTGTTGACTTTTCCATTTTGGTAGTCACGTGGATTCTAGAAACGGGTCTCTTCCTTTTTTTTTCTTTTAAATCATGCTGCACCCATTTTGATTTGTCTGGAGCCAAAAGGTAACTGCTTTTCATTTGGGGGCCCAAGTTTGCTTGCCACATTTTGATGAGTCTTGGGCTGGGCCTCTCTGGACTTTCGGGTAGGATTTCAGAGATTTCAAGCGTAGATCGTTCGATTTTTAAGTTAGGTTTCAGCAGACTTTCGGGTCACTGTTCCGGCCACTTCCTGCCAGTTTTTGAGGTAGGTCCAAGAACAAAAGTGGTTCCAAATAGGGTGTTTTAGCTGCTTGAGTCTTGTAGCTTTTATTCTGGGCTTTCTCCGTGTTGGGCTGGGCACGTTTAATTTAGGCCCAAACAACTTCTATGACAAAATATTAACAATGTACTTCTATGACAGAATATTAACAATATACTTCTACGACATAATAGTGTTAACAATTGTTGAGACCCAAAAAATCCACGGCTTGGCCCAAATGAATTCTTGGCTCAGCGCAATACCTTATTGAGAAAAAATCTGACTTGGAGCACACAAAAATCCGCCATGCACGAGTCACACGGGCAACCAAGCGCTGCCAGCACGTGTGGCGGCATGTGGGCACTGTAGCAGTGAGGCATTATGTCCCAATGTGATCCTCTTGTTGTCACGAGCTCGTAGGAATTCGCGGATATCAATTCGGATAACGTTTGAACCCTGAACGGATCTCGCCTAGTGGGTGATTCCCGGGTTCAGTAGGTGTGAACCTCAATGATTGAAATAATATTATAAAATACAAGCTCATGCTAAACTAAGCATGAATCGTAAAACGGAATCTCGGATACTCCAGAAATGTCAGCCCTAATGTGAGGTTTACAGTAAAACAAACCAGTTACAGGTCAGGAACAAAACATGCCATGCAAAGCAATGAATTATTATTCCGCACCCAACCACACTACAAGCCTAAGAGGGCCCAAGCTGCTCAAATACCCAGGGCTTGCTTGAGTGGGTTGTGGTATGGACGGTAAGGAATCATCAGCCACGAGTTAAGTGCTCAGGGTTTATGTTACTGTTTTCAGGGCATTTTGGTTATTTACGACCCACAGCCACCAGGTATCAGTTTAGGACTCAAGCCCATTTCTTAGTCCCAAACATGTGGGTGAGCACAAGAGGGAAAAGAAATAGCCCAGCCACCAGGTATCAGTTTTAAACAGGTTTCGACCTGGATTCCAAAGTGAAAATTGGGTCAGGTCGTTTCAATATATGTCTATGTATAATATATATTATATATGTATATATATACACACATTTATACATATTATATATATGTGTATATACGAGTATATATGTACATTATAGTATATGTGTATGTAAGTATAATATACTTATTTAATGAACCACTTCGGCTCATGCAAAACTCTACAATAAACCACAAAAAACCTCAGCCCTTGCTAGAAAAAATAGAAGTCACGAAGAGAGGGTCATAGGGTTCATTGAACAAAGCTGCTAGAGGTTCCAGCACATGGTGGGAGCAAGTTCCAAGCAAGAAACATTCAAGGAACCAAGGGATATTAGCCTGCAAGCTGCCAGAAGCACCCTTCGAACCAACATATTTATCCCAACTCATTTTCCCATCAGACTTGGCCATGGAAAAAAGAGAAGAAAACAATAAAAGAGATGGCTGGAAATGGAAGTCTGCCATTGAGACAGCTGCGGGAAAAAAGGGCCTTGAGCTTCAAAAACTCTGATCTTGTGCAAATAGATAGAAGAGATTTCATCAAAATGGGAAAAGCCATGGGAGGAGATAGAAATTAGGGAAAAGCTTAGCCAAAATGGGTAGAAGCCATTAGGGTTTCTTGAAAATTGGTGGTTTCCAGCGGCTATAAATTGAGGCTTCTTCTACCTAACAAATCCAACTCACATCTGGAGAGCAAGCTTCCTCTCTTCCTTGCAAAAACCCAGCAACCTTGTGCACTATTCACCTTTTTCTCCATTCTTCTCTTCTGGCAGACAAAGCATCTGTCAAGCTGCCGGAAGAATTATGTTCTCTATGCCTTCTTTCTTAGCCAAATCTCTCACAAAACTTCCCCTTTCTTACCCTAACACTTCATTTTCCCTCAAAGCAAGCCTAAATTTCCTCTTAGTGTTAAACTCATGTTGATTTTATTTCCATGCCACATGCCTCTCATGCCAAGCTCAAAATTTTATCTGTAAGATGCATAAATTATCTGTAAGTTGCTGTTATTTTAGTCGGTGAAGGTAACCAAGATGCTTCCTAAGGCTCTACTGCCCTTTCGAAGCATTTTTGGGGCTTAATTTTCTATCTCAGACACAGGGGACGATTTCTTCAGTTTCCTCCTTACGGCAGCCCAGCCTATTTGTAGCTGCATGAAGAAAAAAAGCCCATACAACAATCTGGGCTCAGCTTATTTTGAGTTGGTCTAGTTTGTTCTTACTTCATCTTTTCTTTGGTGGACATGTATTAGAAATAGCAACATGACAAACATTAATCAACATGACAGTAAACTAGTAGTATTATTACCCTATACTGAAATATTATAGGGGTAAACATGCATTAGAAATAGAATGTCATAGGAAATAGCAGTGTTATTACTCTAGACTAGAGCATTACAAGAGTAGATATGCATTAGAAATAAAATGTCATAGGAAACTAGCAATATTATTACCCTAAACTGGAATATTACAGAGTAGACATGCATTAGAAATAGGATGTCATATGAAACTAGTATTGTTATTACTCTAAACTAGAACATTACAACTATTAATCAACATGACAATAAACTAGCAATGTTATTACCCTAGATTGGAACATTACAGCCATTAATTAACATGACAGTAAAGTAGCAATGTTATTACCCCAGACTGGAACATTATATGGGTAGACATGCATTAGAAATAAGATATCATAGGAAACTAGTAGTATTATTACCCTACACTAGAACATTATAAGGGTAAACATGCATTAGAAATAGGATGTTATAGAAAACTAGTAGTGTTATTACCCTACACCGGAACATTACAGCCGTTAATCAACATGACAGAGCAGTATTATTACCCTAAACTGGAACATTACAACAATTAATCAACATGACAGTAAAGGTGTGGAACATTACAGCCATTAATTAACATGACACGTTAATGAAACTATGGTTTTCAAGATCTTTTGTTTGTAATGAGTTGTTTGGATTTTTTTAGTAAAATTGGGCTGGGCTTGTTTTGAGCGCTATTTAAGTTTTTTGTGTTGGTCTTTTTTTTTTTTTTTTAAGTTGATCAATAACAGTCATGTAATTTATAAGAATTTAAATACTAATTTTTTATGTAGTAAATGAGTTTTGGGTGTGTTTCTAAAGTGCATTTCATGTGGGGTTTTTTTTTTATATATTATAATTTCAGCCTCTATTTTGGGTATATTAGTGAAGCTTCCTTTTTTTTTACAGTGCATTATTTATTCTCAATCTGGGAGTTACTGAGAAGTTAAAAAAAAAAAAAAAAAAAGCATCTGAGTTTCTAAGAGTCTTTTTGATATAAATACAAAATATCCTTTGGACTCACATGGGAGGAAAGACATTAGACTTTTCTCTTCTCATCTTGTTAATGTTGTGGATATATATCTTGTTAATGTTGTGGATATGTTTTGGAAGACCTGTATGATAGATAGTGTGCCGTGGATTTACCAAATTTTTGGAGCTTTTCATCTGTCTATTCAATCCCTTTAGGGAGACAAATTTTCCATCCAAGGGTCAAAACTATGCCACCTATTAGATCAGTGGATTGGATTAGTCCACTTCATCATGTTATATCCTTAATGATGACTATACCTTCTCAGGTGGCAGTGGCACCAAAATTCCATGACCTTGTGGCTTGTGCCTGGCAGCAGGTTCATGCTTAGTCAAATTCCTAGGAGGTAGCATCGAGCCTTTATTATCCTTCTAGCTTAAATGCAAATTCCCACATGAAATTACTAAGTGAGGAATTTTCCATGTTGGGTAGCTCTCAATAATAAGTTCACCAACTTTCAATGGTCCATATGAGATATATGACATGAGATCAAAGCATATACTTGTTTGGACATTGAAAAGAAAAATACTACTAGATTAGAAGCTACTTCATCCCTCATGCATAAATTACCATACCATGCGTGACATACGTCATGTTAATTTGATGCTGCACCGCTGTTTTGTGCACCCTAGACCTGACCAGTTTTTTCTCGGTGCTTCCATTTGTGAGCTTTACCTTTGGTTCACCGTCCGTACAGAGAAACGACAGACAGCGTGGAGAGAAGAAAGAAGAAAGAGACTTGGATTGAGATATGTTTGTCTTATAAGTCATAACTTTAGGTTTTTGCTAAATTTAAAGTTAACTCACAGGAATAACTGTAGAAAATAAACCAAGTTATTGGAGTGAAAGCGTATAATTTCATAAACGGGACAAAAAACAACAGGTACTACAGTCCACCATTCTCTTTCCAAAATGAAAATTTACCATCTTCTTCTAAATCAACAATGAAAAGAAAGAAAAGGAAAAAAGAAACAGAAACTCATTTACCTTTCCTTTGCCATGAACCATCAGAACAAATCAAACCAACCCAGTCTTGGAGCTCTCTACCCTCTGCCCTATTACACCTCACTTTCCCAAGAATCACAGCCATAACTCCCCAACAACCTACAAGAAGACAAAGATAGCTTTCTTCAATGGCAGAAACCAGTACTAGCAGTAGCAACAGTTTCTTCAATAACACCAATGGGGGCTCACCAATTTCCTACATAGCCCAAGACCACCTCTTTACAATCTTGTTGCTTCTTCCTGTAGATTCAATTCTTTGCTTTGCCATGGCCTGCAAGAAGTTTAGAGCTTTGACAGCCTCTGACACTCTGTGGGAGTCCATATGCAGAAGGGACTGGGGTCCCAAATCAGTTGAGGCCCTCAAGGCTTCAAATTTTCATCATCAGCTGCCTTGGATGAGGCTCTACAAGCAAGTCTCTCGCGTGGACTCTGTTTATTGCCATAAATTGTCTAACCCAGATGGGGAATTGGTGTTTCCAAGTCCCAGGGCCTCTCATTCTCTCAATTTTGTGTCTGATTGCTTGGTTTTGTTTGGTGGTGGCAGTGAGGGAGGTCAGTCAGTTAATCTTGTTGAAGATTCTCCCAGCTCTACTTTTCTTTTGTTCGTGCTTCTGGTTTATTTGTTTATGTTTCATGACGAAAAATCTCATGTTCTGTGTTTTGATGATTGGCTGTTCATTTTATTTATTTAATGGGGCTTCTGAGACGTCTTCCTGGTGTTTTGGTTTGAAAAATTATACTGCTTGAGATTTCACCATCACAACTTTATATTTTATTGAACGTTATAACCCATTGGCTAGATGAAAGTCATTCCACATGCATTTTTATAAACAATATAGAACATCTCATAAAATAAATGTTCATAAGTAGTCTCTTCTAGTTTTTCATGCCCCCTCCTACTTGTTCCACATCATTTATACTGGGTCTCTTTGGTTTTGGAGGCTTTCTGAACTTGTAAAATGAGTGGAGATGTTGTGAGCATTGACAAAATGTCTAATTGTTTTTACGACAAAATTATAGGGAAACTCTATGATGAGAAAAGGACCACCATGACAATAATGCTTCATATGTTGCCTTGCATGAATTGCATGTAAGAATAAGCTTTTTAGAAGTCTGACCAACCTGAACCTGACCAGATAATGAAGGTCTCTCTCTCTACATTAAAGACAAAATGGTCAAACGAATAGCTGGCAACCTGATCAATTTCTAAACCCCATCCCTCTGCTCCTCCTCCTGAATTCTAATCTTGAAAGATCAAATTTTTTGATTTTGTTGTTGTTGTCAGTTCTTGGTTTGATCGAGTAAATGGTGGAACTTGGAAGAACATTTTTTCCACTGATCAGAGAGGTTAGGTAGTACTAGAGTCGATGCCCAGCTTCTCAAGATTCAGACTTATGCTTACAACTCTACTGTTCCTCTTAATCTGCAGAACTGCAGAATATTAGAAGAACATGCTGAGAATAAATGACTTATGGTTTCAGTTCTGATATTCAGAAAATTTAATCTGTGCAGGCTATAAAACCCCATTCAAGTGTCTTTTTTTTCCTGTAGATAACCTCTTTCAAACTTGTAAGCAGGCAATGAAATTGTTTTAGAAACGATTTAAACGACAACTCAAGATGCTTGTGGCCACCTTTCTATAACTGAACACCAGCTCCAAATTGTATTTAGTTCCAATTTTATCATGGTTACTAAGAAAGAGAGTCAGCCATACCCTCCCTTGGAATCAGGTCGCACGTAGATAGTTGGATGTGTACCGGTTGGTCCAGTCTTGCCATTGGTAAATTCTTATTTCCATTTCGAATTACTACAGAAATTTAGAAATTATGGAAATTGTATACTATTTACCACTTTATTGCACAAACGGTCCCTTAATATGCCAATTCTCATGCCAAATAGAAGTGCCTTCTTTCATATTCAGTAATTACTTGTCACATTTAAACAGCAGAAGTTGATACTAGACCTGTAGGATCACTAGGTTTGAGGCTTTTCTTTCCTATTTCTCTTCATATCATTAGTTAACATTAGTCTTATAGTTTGAAACTAGGCCCCTCTATGTCAGTCAAGAAGGGCATGGTCAAATAGCTATACATAAGGATAGTCTCCATTTACACCAGTTGCTTTGTTACTTAGCATGCCTAGACTTGTTTTGAACTCTGTTTCCTTCTAAATTTAGCCTTTAAACCTTTGCTCACAGGTGTTGGCTGACTGAGTAGATGTTTGAAGTTATATTTACATAATTTGTAAAACATTTGTCGTTCTTTAATCTGCACCATGCCACTGTTTAATCTAATTCATGAATGAAAGAATTTGTGTTCACAAAGGCAGAAATCTAAGATGTGCTGTATCCATTTAGGAGTGTAGTATTCCTATGAACCCTGAGAATCTACTTCTACTCGTAACCACCCAAAAAAGAAGACTAAAAAACATAGTTCTTGAGCTGCACAACAAGGTGCTGTCTTCTTTTTAGTCAGTTAATAACCAAGTTTTTCTATTATTTTCTCAAAGGCTCTTTCAAACTTCAGCAGGTATAATCTATCCCTTTTGTCGAACTTTGCCTATGGTTTTTTTTCATCAAACTGTGAGTAGACAACAATAATCTGGACACCATTGAGTCTGAATAAAGTAGATTAATTTGGTTTCATTTATCAGAAGTTGAAGTTATATCAGTACAAGCTAGTCACTCCTATAAACATTTATTGAGCCGTGCAAGATTACTGTATGAATATGATAGAATTATACAACAACTAACCATCTTAAATGAATTGTCTTCTCAGTTGTCCTTGGAGCATGCGTGTGTTTCTTGTCATGTACTTTTATTTTAATAACCAACCATTCTGTTTCTGTTGTTTGTTATTTTTTAGGACGCCATCTAGATGACACATGGGTGGCATACGTTGGTAATGATTTTCGGAGAATGTTGAAGTGGCAGAAGATCAATTCAGGCATTCCAAGTGGCAGATTTGGGCATTCATGTGTTGTTATTGATGATTTTCTTGTTCTATTTGGAGGAATAAATGACAATGGAAACCGTCACAACGATACATGGGTTGGGAAAGTAGCATGCCATGAGACCCTTGGTATCACACTGTCATGGAGGCTGCTTGTCGTGGGGCCCGATGCACCTTCGCAGCGAGGGGCTCATGCTGCATGCTGCATTGATGGCAGAAAGATGGTTATCCATGGAGGAATTGGGCTGCATGGTGTCAGGTTGGGTGATACATGGGTGTTGGAACTCTCCGAAAACTTTCGATTTGGAACTTGGTATGAAATCGTGGCTCATCCATGTCCGCCTGCTCGCTCAGGACACACATTGACTTGCATTGGGGGAACCCGAACAGTTTTATTTGGAGGGAGAGGATTGGGCTATGATGTGCTTCATGATGTCTGGTTCTTGGATATTCATGATGGTCAACCTAAATGGGTACAAATACTCTATGAATTACAAAATGTTCCTGGAGCAGTTTCCCTCCCTAGAGTTGGTCACTCAGCTACTCTCATCTTAGGAGGTCATTTGCTGATTTGTGGAGGAGAGGATTCGTACAGACACCGGAAGAATGACTTCTGGGTTTTAGACATAAGTGCAGTTCCATCCATTACAATGCAGCCGACTACACTCAACTCTGTGCAGTTACTGGCAAAAATGTGGAAAAGGTTGAAGGCAAATGGTTACAAACCCAAATGCCGGTCATTCCATCGTGCCTGCACAGATAATTCCGGGCGTTACTTGTTTGTGTTTGGTGGAATGGTGGATGGCGTACTTCAGCCTGCTGACCCTGCCGGGCTGAGGTTTGATGGAGAGCTCGTCCTTGTGGAGCTTGTGCTCCAGCTGTAAGGAGGAATGAATATATCTTTGGTACAAAAGATGAAGTTGCTTTAATTATAGAAAGGAAAGGAGACTTTTTTCAACTGGTGCGGGCTTCCTAAAATAGCCATTAGCTCCAGCATCAACAAAGGTTGGCTCTGCGAATGCGTCACCAGTCAACCCAAAAATTGGCACTCCAAATCCCAACAATTCTTTTAACTAGCCATGGCTGAGTTAAGAGAATTGCTGCGATTTTGGGTGCCATTTTTGGGTTGTCCTGGACCACTAGTACTTACGCGTTCACATAGCCAGCCTTTGTTGCTACCGAAGCTGATGGCTACTTTAGGAAGCCCCTAACAGTCGAAAACTTGCCATATTTGATCACGTGCTCCAATCTATGTAACAGTTGAGGTACGTGCATACGTATAAACAAAGCCTCCTTTCCTAAAGCATCGGCATAATTTGGTTAATTACTTGCCATTCCAGTACACCAAGTCTTGTACATAGTAGCTCATAACTTGCTCTGTACGTCTCTTTTGAATTGAGATTATCTGTTCTACGAGAAAAGACAAAAAAAAAAAAAAAAAAAAAAATTAGAATTGAGATTCTCTGACTAAATGAATTTTTCATGCATTGTTATTTTCCATGGGGTTTGGAGAGCTTATTTCTAACTACATTTGCATTACGAGTAGTCAATGTGGAATCTGCATCATATATGTTAATGAGAAAAATGGCAATGCCCCAATCAATGGAATAGTTCTTTTGTTATTTTTTTTATACAAGCGATAATGTGGGAGGGTGAATTGAACCTAAGACTTCGGGTGCAAGGGTAAATACTCTAAATCGATGGAGTAGTTTTAAGTGCCTTTCTATTTTACGGTGTGTCATTTTCAGTGGCAACCTGGCCAACGTCATTTTGTCGTTTGTTCTGTATTTTTTCTTGGAAAGCAAACCAATAATTTGAAGGTATGTATATCTTAGGACCACTAATGTCACTAGAGTAAGTTGACTCTGGGATTGAATTTAATTTTTACGTGGGACCATAAAAGATCACAATAAGCTTTATAAGAGAAGCATGAGAGGCCTAGAGGTAAATGAGTATTTACCTTGCAGGTATAGTTTTGGGTAATATTTCTCACTTTGTTAGGTTCTTCTAAAAGAGAAAAGCCATATTATTAGTTACTTTTAACAGATTAAACGCATAAAATGCATAAAAAAATCAATTAAAGAAAGAATAATGTCAACTATAAAACTCATCTAAATACTTTTACATTTGCTTACAATTGGGTGAAACCTATGAAACTTTGAGTTTAAAATCTTCAATCTCGACCTCAACCCTTTTGCAAGCAATAATAGCCTGCAAAGCCATAGTCCATAAGAATACGTAAGACGCCCCATTTACAATTCCTTGTGAAAAGCAATACAAGATGCAAACAGCTGTTGCTGCAAAGAAAAGACAACATGACCTGGCTGCTCCCTGTTTACGCTCATTAACAACAATGTCTTGATTTGTATCTTAAAAGAAGAAAAAATAAATGTATTGATTTGAACTAATCATCAACATGTTGTACATTAATAATTCAGATGAATGAAAAATTTCTATAAACTCAAGTTGATATACAATACAAGGTTACCTAACCAGGTTATATATGCCCACAACAATGAGAATTACAGCAATAGAATATGTCCACAAGATTTCCTCTAAGTAGGTGGATTTTCCATTTCATTCCCACTGCAATAGGGAAGAAGTATTTCTAATCCAGAAAATAAATAATTAAATTTTCTATAAAAACACAATCAGATTTGAATTTGCGTTTGCTACGAGATGACAAATGGTTGTACTGGCAGAAAACAATCCTACAAAAGAACCAGCACGAATCAATCACGAGCTCAATTTTAACTTCGTTCTCCACAACTCTCCGATGACCTTCTTTGGTGCTGGATTCTCTGGTCCTTTGTCTCGCTGCCCTGATGTAAAATACAACCATCCATTCCAGAAGCCAACTAGTGTGGTTTTAACTCGAAATGGTAGTTTCCCAAGAACTGACCAGTTCTGTAACAAAAATCAGAAATTAAGAGTAGAAACCGACATTGTATAGGCACCCCTAGGGTAAAGAGGGCAGGGGTAATAAGAAACATTATGAATTAGACAAAATTGAAGAGATTTCGATAACAGCAAACAAACTTATGACCCATTATCTGGGCTATAGCTTGTTTGTAGTAACTGATGTAAATGCATGAGTTAGATTTCTATAAATTCACACATTCCATGGATGGTTTCGGAGTGCTGCTGTAGGTCCACAACAACAAACCTAGTCATCAAAAAGATGGTCTCTCTTGTCACCACAAGAAAGACAAGATGGTAACTGCATATGAGAATAATTGTGAACCCACTGCAGTGAACTCTATCCACAATCTAATCAATGGAGATAAATAAATAAAAACTCAAGATCAAGGGCAATCTTGACTCCAGCTTAAGGCATTGTGATACCTTAACCCACATACCAACAGCGACTGCCTCACTGTTTGCGTGGTTTTTTGTTCATTTGTTTGTGTGTAAACAATTAAGGCACATGTACTTTATCTTTAAAAGCATAAGAGGTGAGCGTCAATACCAGTGTATTCAAGTTAAACTGGAATATTTCTCCAACCAAAGTCATCTTCTTAGTCACAGGATGCTTGTCTGTTGTGCCTCCAACAATAACAATAGAATTGTTAACAACAACCCAAGCAAATTCGATATGGGAATCTGGTTTAGGCATGGGAGGTAACACTTTCCACTTCATTTCGTCATCTAGCATGTAAACATCACCATATACAACCTGTCATAAATAACAAAATGAAATTTATTCTAGAGGACAAGTCCAGATTTGAACTTTGGTTTCTTGGTTTTGTTTGCTAAATTCATTCTATGTTTGTGTAGGGCTCTGAAGCTTCCAGTAAGTAATTGACTGGTTCCTTTAGAAACAGTGCATGCTTCTAACTGAGTGAGTAAAATAGGTGTAACTGTGTGTGTATTAAAAGCCTAAAAAAGATCCATCATTGATTCTTTTTCATCTGTACAACTGATGATGATGCAATACATCAAGAAGAACCTATGATCGCCTAGAACCAAAAGAAACTGACATAACCCTTTGGATATTATTAACAAAACTCAGACATAACTGATCCAACAAAAGAATAATAAATATATGAAATTCTTACCTCATTCCTGCGAGAGCACTTGAAAATAGGTGATCCAGGTTTGGCCATGAAATCACCCTCTTGACCACCAATAAGATAAAGACGATCATCAACAACTATACAAGCCCTACAAAAAGATGCCAATTACAGTAGAACATTGTTAAGATTTAGTTGATGGGATTACCATAGACAAATCTTGCTTCCAATTGGCAAATAAAAGGTCACATTATAGCTCAAAGCGTCATGCCCCTTAAAAAAAATCAGTGGGAGGGTTCAGGAAAGAGGTCTTAAAACCAATAATTATTTTCTCAGGAAGGAACCACCCAAGGCAGTACAAATAATAAAGTAATTTTTCCACTAGTTGTCATGTTTCACTTGTATTTACAGCTCCAGGAGGAGTTGGGAGCCAATTTTCATCCCTTGGGAATATCAAATAACAAGAAGCCCTTTCTCTTCTCCCTCTATCAACTAACTCTAAATTCTCTGAACAGAATTTTGTAACTCAAGAGTGAAAAAGCCATGAGGAGACCAAAGACCTTTTGATAACAAAATTCTAGAGAAGTTACTCCATTTATTCTCTTCAGGTCTGATGGAGATCAAGTAATTCTATCATCAAAATTTGAACATCAATAAGCTTACACCAGAACCCCAAGTTCTGTAGCTAGCTCTATAAACATTCTAAGCAGGGAGTGTGTATCATTGTCCTTATGTTATTGCCCTAGACACCAAAGAGGATTATTCTCATTGCTACATATAAGAAAGAATCTGGAATTGATAGATCACAAAAGGAAATATGAACCTACAAAATAATCAAGAAGAGAGCAATCATACCAACAGATTGCCTAGAACTTTCAACAATGGTTATTGGTAAAAAAAAAACCTCAAAATTTATGATTTAATTTTATGTGATCACTTTCAAGGCCAATGAATGCAAAATTGTACTCAATTTCATATGCGGGAATTCCACCAAGATCTCCCATGATGAAATGCTTAGTTACATAAACGCAGCAAGAATAAGACAGTGGACATACCTATGAGGTCCACCCCTGGGAATAGGCATTTCAGTCCTCCATTCCTTTTCTAATACTTTTCCATCTTTAACAGCAAGACTCCAATGATCTACTCCAGGTGTATATCGATTCTCCTTGCTACCACCCATTACATGAAGTCTACCTCTCCAAAGTTGAGTTGCTGGTGCGTACCTGAAAATTACTGAGTTAAAACCATTCAATCTACGTGTGAACTACAGAAGAAAAATTATATGATTTGTTCTGGACTACAAATACTTACTAATGAAATCTTACACTAACAAATTGATTTTCCAGTTCACACCATCAGTACAAAAAGTTCCCATGAGCTAAATAGAAACCAGCAAACAAAGTCTACAACTCAACAAAGCCTTAATCCTGACATCTGGGCTCAGCTACACTACCTTTATATACACACGCACACATACAAATACACACATACATCTATAATATATACATATATAAACAGATATCCTACAATGAAATCAGGTGGTATTAAATAAGAGCAAAATGACATAAAGCCATGGTATAAATGACACGCATTCACAAACATGTGTAAGCACGCAGCACAATACAGGAATACACAGTGCTCGATTTCAGTATCACACAGCATTTAACAACAGAATCGTACACTTCATTCTATTCAATCTTATTAAGGGAAAAACAAACCTAGGAACTGGTAAAGGAGGCATGTCCCGCCACTGCTTTGTCTCAGTATCAAGCACGAATGTGTGGGCAGTGGGCCCTCTGCACTGTGGCCCATACTGTCCTGTGACAATGTATATGTACCTTCCATCAGTTACCATTCCTAGATGTGAATGTGCCATTTCTTTTGGCATATCAAATCTTCCTCCCCATGTATTATCACTGAAATTGTAGATATCAACATGTGAATGTACCTAAAGTAAACAATAAACAGAAAGGAAAGCCCATTAACATAAGAAGGGAGGGTGAATCTTTTCAGTTTTGGTGAACAAGTGAACATAATAAAACATGTTTATCATAGTTCCACATAAGCGGTTGGATCTGATCTATCCCCAGTAGTTGAGTTGAGGCCCAATTCATTGATGTCACCAGTCATGAAGCTTTGATAACGTGTCTCTCTATAAGTTTTTTTTATTTAAAAAAAAAAGACAATGCAGAAAATTACGGAATAAATTTACAACTATTTCATAACACCCACAAAATCAAGATAAATTAAACTAAAGGCAATATCCTAAAACTCTTTGACATAGATTCCCATAAAGACACCACAGTTCTACTCGATACAATTAAGTCAAAGTAAGAACCCATAAAAACACACCCTTTTCAACCCATCTAATCTCACTTTTTAACTACCGGATTCCAAAAATTTAGAGAACAAGAACTACCCTGAGCAGTTTGTGCTACAATCTTCAATTTTCCTTCATAGCTGCTCCTAGCAATTCCTAATCCACTTGCAACACGAACATCTTCTACTAAATCTTGATATCCTTTTCCAATTCTCTGCATGGTCTATAGAATAGAAACCCTTCTCTCTCATGAAGTAGTTTGTATTACAACCACCTCTTTAACAAATTCTTCCCCCAACCCCTAGTGCTAAAAAAATATATAAAACCATTTCTAGTTTCTACATGATTTCATTGTTTGTTTTTATTTTATAATTTCTTCAAGAAATGTAACTAATAACATAATACAGTGTGAATATTCATATTGAGTACATGTGCGTCATACTAGTCAATCTTCACTTTCAAAAGTTCCATAACCCATAAAATAATGCCCATGGCTCTTTATTTATCTTAAAAGTTATTTGCACAGGAGCATCAACAATTTATTTTGTTAAGGGACTACATTAAATCAGTTCATTTCCCGGAAAAAAAAAAAATTAAAGATAGAATTCCCATAGCATCAACTAAAACAAGAGCTCAAGAAAATGTAAGACCACTCTATACAGTGGTCATTTCAACGGGGTTAAGTTAAAAGTAATGTGCTAAATCATGAAAATTTGGATGTTAAAAAATAAGCAACAGACTATTTTAATAAATAAAAAAGGACATAGCCTGAAAAATTCTGTAGAGATAGCTAGCATGAACAATATAAAAAAATAATTTAGTGAAGGAGCAATACAAGGTTCTCACATAATCAATGGTACCGTATCCAGCAAACACGAAAAGAAGATTCTTTATCTGTATAGCTGCCCCATCCAAGCGAGCTACAGGTGCGGCAGCCATATTTTCCCATTTTAATTCTGGTCCAGGCAAATCAGCAAAAGTTGCTGATAAAACTCTCCCATGAGCAGTATCGTTTTTATGATTTCCCTAAAGGTAACAGAATAGTGGTCAATATTCAGAGCTGAAACAAGGATCAGTTAGAATTTTATTTGCCAATAATTTAACATAACAGGAAAAAGTTCTACAAGATAAGTAAAAGGACAACACATTGGTTTCATAAAAGTGGAAATTCCTTCTACTTAACCCATTGATGGATGGAATTAAGCTCCAATAACAGGACCATTGTTTTTCTAATAGGTGCAGAATTTACTCATAAGCCCAATAACAGAAACCCAAATTCATGAAATATTCACTTTGCTTTTCTTTTCCCCGCATTTTCAAGTGGAACTGGAAAAGCATCCTAAAAGCTCAAAATAAAGAATAGCAGTTCATGCAATTTCATAATGTTCAATATGCCGAACATACTAATATCCCAAATCTGATATCCATTTTCTTCTACGGCATCTTCTCAGCACCCAAAACAAAATCAAATTTGAAATCTGCAAAAACTAATCAAATAAGCAACAATGAACTTCAACAAAGCAACCTAGCAAACTTTTTTTTTTTTTTTGTTTTTTGTTTTTTTCATTTTCCACCATGTTTCACAAACAGAACAATGCCGGTAAGAATTCACATCAAAAGACAAACCCTGAAACAATGTGGGTGTTGAAATCCACAGAAACACTAATCACAATGTACAACTACCAACAATAAGCTTTAATGATCAACCAACTCTCACATCCAGAAATAAAAGCACCAATTCCTTTGCGGAGCACTTACTAACACACTAAATAAGACCGCAACGAAAATATTCATACAAACTCAGCAGCAAAGATGAGCTTCAATATAGCAACCAAACAAACTAAAAAGGCACACTTCCTCACAAATCAGACAATACTGAGATCAAATTCACATGAAAAATCATAAATCAGCACGAATGAGCTTCAACAAAACAACCAAAAAATAAAAAGTATCATTTTCCCGCCTTTTGACGCAAGCCAACCAATACCCAGATGAGAATTCACATAAAAACGCAAGATTTCAACAAGATGATAACAAAGAGCCAGGCAAACCTTTTCGGGTACCTCATCGTCAGTCTTCTTGGGTGTGAGGATCAGACTGGGTTTTGAAATATCAAGGGGAGGAGCCCAATTGGAGGCAATGGAGATATAGGAATTAGCAAAACGAGGCGAGGAAGCCCAGAGGAAATCAGCAATCAGAGCAAGCCCCAATAGGCCAACGCATATCAACATCAAGCGAGCCGATGTGTGCTTCGCAGAGGGCCTAACCATCTCATATATGAATGAATGAATGAAAGAATCGTAGTTTTAAAGTCAGAGAGAGATGTGAATGTTGCAGAGCTCAGCTGGGTTCACTAATGGAGAGTTGGAGAGCTACGCTTTACGCATTTATCTTCTTTCCCAATTGGAAGATGAGAGTGACGGTGACACAGAGAGAGAAACACCGACACTGATTATTGCAGTGACTGAGGTTTTCTGCAATTACCAATTTTCCCGGGGTCGGAGCAAATTTATCCCTTCCTCTAGTTTCGCAGTGAAGCAACTTAATAGAAAACATTACATTTTGGAAAAGGCCCAGGAGAGAGAAATATTTTTAGAAGAAGCAAAATGAACAAAAATGCTCTTATTTATTTTTGGATTTTTTAAGAAATCTTTTATATTTGTATGTTTTTAATTTGAAAGTTGAGAGGTTTGATGTTTCTTTCGGAAAAATTTGACTTTTTTCGAAAGTGAAAGTTTTTTTATGACTAAAATCTAAATTTATTATATAAAAATCACCTTTTTTTTAATAGCGAAATTAGAAAATTAATAATTTTTAAATGGAGAATATCAATTGGATTTTTTAAGAAAATTTTAATGTTTTTATAATAAAAGTTACTTCCTAGAAAAGTAGTCCCAAACAAGACCTTTTATTTTATCTCTTCTTCCTCGTTGATCAGTTTTTATTAGGAATGGGAATAATTCAATCCGGTTAACGCACAAAAAATGGTTATATCAACTAAACCAACCTAAACCAATTCAAGAACAGTTCGGTTCAGTTTGGGCTCACGACGTTTTATTTATTTTCTTGCATTTTGGTAGGCGTGTTTGTAGCATAAAAATCAATCTATCACCCACTTATAAGACAGTTATAAATAAATATAAATAAACCGATCAGCGTCAAGAACCGTGAACTAAACCGGATCTAATCAGTCCGGTAATGCTTTGAGAGATTTCGACTCTTTTTTGTTCAAGAACTGAACCAAATCGAATGATTCTGATTATGAACTTTCAAGTGTAAGTGTGCAACCAAAATATAAACAATGAATCTCAGGTATGTGAAGATGGACAAACCAATGTAAGCATTGGAAAAGATCATATACAAATAACTCAATTATTTTTTCTTTCTATTTCACATTAACTCAATCTGATTAAACATGTAAATCCCCTGCTTCATCATGCCACCCCATTACAAAAGCTTTCAAAACCTAAAAGAAAAATAGAAAGGGAAAGGAAACCCAGGAAAACTATACACCATGTTAAAAGGAATAAACACCACCACCCCCATCTTAATCTGTTACAAACACAACTTCTTCACTCCTACCGCCATCACCAACATCATCAATAATAATAATAGAGGGAAAGAATATACTCTCGAAAGAGCAAAACCTAAAATAAGTCTGCAATTCAACTTACTGCTAAACTGGTATGACATCATTCTTTGATGCATCATCACATCTCAAAACAATACCCTCAAGGCTAGCTGGAAAGATGCATTTGGCCCACTGGCATCCTGTCGTGATCGGCTCAGGGGGAGGAACGATCATCAGCACATTGTCATTTCTCTGGACAACTCCCATTACACTAACTGTGCTTCCTTCTTTAATGTACCTGCAAATATGGCACGGCAGTTTAGATCTACAACCACATCACTTTGCATCTATCACATTCAAACAGCTTGTATAGAAAATTTCACAAATCTCATTGAATTTATACATACCATACAGACAGGGACAACAACTGTCGTCATTAAATCAGATACTGTCAAATTCCCATTTTCTTGTGTTTAAAAATCTAATTTTGTATTTCTTTACTTAAATTTAGTACTGGATTCATTGGATGACTCAACTATCTTAAGGGTAAAATTTTTTTTTGAAT